TATTGTGACCAAAATTACCACGGTTTCCGGTATTATCGCGGTATTTTTTTTAAACGTGCTACAGTTTCACACAATTAAATAAACCCTGTATGTCAGGAAATATTGCCCTCAGTTTGTGTCTAAATTTTGCCTAAAATGTGTTATTTTGTAATTATGTTGTTTATTTGTTTACATTTTTTCCCTTTAGTCTTTAAAATACCAATATTTGCCCATAACTTCTTATTTTATGTCTGTTTGATGTCATCATTTAAAAATATTAGATCAGATGACACTCAGTACTCAAGTAGCCTTCTAGATACTTTTTTACCCTTACTAGAGTAATAAACCCTATATCAGGAAAATATTGTCCTCGGTTTGTGTTCCAGTGAGCTTTGCAGATGTGGGAAAATGTCATCAGGCAGTAATCATTGTTAAACTCATAATTATTCTCGGAGAGAGAACAACTCTTATCTGCCCCTGGGAGCCCCGTAATGCATAGCGTCATTTCAACATGGTGGTGTCCGCGACACGGTTTATATGCAGGTAGCGGCGCTGCGGCTGCTTTATATGGCCACTCGTTGCATTCTCCCTCAACCCAAATCCTCGGATCACGCATTTTAGCTAAAACGCTAACGTTAGCTTGCCTTGCGTTGACTGTAGAGTTGTGGGTGATGGTCACGCAGATGTGTCATGAGATTTGAAGCGTTGCTGCCTTTCACAGACACTTTTTCTGCTCGTGCTGCAAACAGGATAGCCGTCCGTCTTCTATAAACTCCCTCGGCATTCTTCAAATATCTAAAATATGCCCGTACTTCCGACTTTGTCTTCTTTGAGGGATAATAAATGTCCTCCTGAGCGCTGCCGTCTCCTCCTTTGACCATTATTTCAGCTTTAGCTTCAAGAAAGTTTTGGTCGTAAACAACAAAGTGCACATGTGCCGCCGGCAACTTCAGCAGATGATACGGTGGCTGGTAAGGGTCACCGCGCCTACACCGCAGCCACGGTGATTCACCGAGATAATATATATTTTTAAAAACAAGACAGTTATTATTATCGTAAACTTTTTACCAGGGTTTACCGCTACACCGGTTACCGTGACAACCCTAAACACAACCTTCAAGGACAAAAAGAAAATGCATCTTGAACAGACGCAAGTGGAAGTCTCCAATGTCGGAATATTTTACATCGCCAAATACACTAAAGTAGAAATTCGGGACAATGGCTTGTCCATATGCAGAGCTTGCAGAAAATAAAGTTGTGGCCAAAAGAACCAGCTCCTCTGATCATCTTAGAGATCATAATACAGACAAATAAGATACAACTGAGTCAAATTACGCTAGAGACTGAAGTAGTTTTAAAGTAATATTAGAACAATTCAGTTCATTTTGTTTCCCTTGTATTATCTATCGACAAGTCTGTACAACAAGACATTTTAATATTTGATCAACAACACCAACATAGGAATAACATAATGTATCATTTTCCAAATAGTATTCTCACTTTCAAAATTGAAAAACAAAACAACAAGTAGAAATTATATTTAAGGATATTCATAACAAGAACTGCACTAGTTAGGCATTTCTTTTCATTTCATTAGGTTTCTCCATCCTTCAGAGTTCATTTGAATAAACTTCCTGCTCACGGCTTTGACGTTTAACACCAGATAGCTGGTCCAGACCATGTTTGTTAACACTGCAACAGCATCGGTACTGCTGACGAATTGAAAGCATGAGGTGTCCTGGCCAATCACAAGCTTGTGCTCTTCGTCTTGTTTTGACGTATGTTTAGAAAAGTGGGCTCGACTCCACTCATCCTTGCAAGTCTGTTGGACAGCCCTCACAACGACGGATAATGGCGTTGCGTGTCTCCGGTTAACCGTTAAGGGCGTCAATAGCCTGTTAAAGAAGTTTTGGAAAACGTGCATATCCCTAGTTAAACCATTTTTGTCATTTGACAAAAAACTCAGAATAGGCAAATCTAGTTCAATTCAGTTTCTTTATATGGCGCCAAATAAAAGTCGTCTCAAGGCACTTCAAAGTAAACGTTCCAATGGAGTTCAGTTCAATATTCCAATTACTTTAAAGTTTCCTATATAAGGAAACTCGGCAGATCGACTTGAATCAGCGACTTTACAGCAATCCCCATACTAAGCAAGCATGTTGCGATGGTGGAAAGGAAAACCTCTTTAACTGGAAGAAACCTTAAACAGAACCCGGCTCAGTATGAGCAGCCCTCACCGAGGGCATGAGAAGACAGAATTATGGGTCTTTCAAACATTTTATACTGTAATTTTAAATTTACAGAGATTACTTTTATTTTACCAATTCATTTTTCTATTCAGTATTTTTGAAAAGCAGCAATAAATACCTTCTAAATATCAGCAATCAATTTCCCTCTGGGATTAATAAAGTATTTTTGAATTGAATTGAATTTTGGAGTTAAAAAACTTTATAGAACGCATTTGTGTGATTTATATGTTAATACAGTTATTAAATCAATTCACATCAAATAACCACAATAATTGTGATCACTTCTCACACTATATTCATACCACCAATATTTCTAATCTATGCAACCCTAGTAACACACCTGCAGTTGTAACTGGTTTACAGAGAGAACTACTTTCAGGAAACACCCAGTGATTTGTGCCAAGCTGGTATTAGAAACCATCCAGCCAGATATTCAAGAATCAACACCCACATACTTGCATAAGTGCTTTCGTAAATTTTGCCATTATTCCCAAATCATTCGTCATCGGGATAATTTTATCTCCCTCTTTTTTTGTTAATATCACCCTTTGAAAAGTCTAGTGTGTGTTCATCTCAGAGCATTAAAAAAAGAACGCTCAGAGATGCTACTGAGCTGCAAAATGCAGGAATGCGGACTTGAATCTGAACAGGACCACATTCTTGGTCACTGGTAATGAGGTTTCACAGATGTAATAAGTTCGACTGCCCCCTAAAAATGAACACCGGGGCAGCTGTGGAGAACATTATTGCTTCTTGCAAGGTGGAAAAATCCAACCCGCCGCTGTCTATGAACATAAACACTTAACGAGAATCAGTTTTGCTTCACAACTATCTATTTAGTCAATAGCTTCTGATGATTAGAAATAAAAGAATCTTCAAGCTTGCAAAAGGAGGGAGTACTTTGATTAACAGACAATAGGTGCAGGTGAAACTAATAAATGCACTGAAATTGAATTCTTGCACTCTCCTCCTCACAATCCTCTTGACACAAGACATTTCAAACACACACCTGTGCACAGAAACAGTGTAGAGACAGGAGACACGTTTCACTAGTGCTATTTCAATAAGTCTTTATTAAAGGACTTTACTAGAATAATAAAACAAGATGTTTGAGTCTATTGCTAAACTTATTGATCTGAAATCTTGATAACGAACAGTTCCACTGCCTTCCTAAATAAAAGGTCCCACAAACATTGGGGCTATATAAATAAACTTGAATTGAATAAAGCAAGAAAAAAGATGTTAAACCTAGTACGGGTGATGTGACAAGTACTGTGCACCATCAGGTGGGCAGAGTGATGCAACAGAGAGGCTGCTCAACTGGTTCCACGGGAGGCGTTCCTCCAGCATTACCAAGAGAAGCACTGACACTCATTGAAATGACACAAGCTGTCTGCCTGTATAGTCCTGGATCAGTCAAGCAGAAGGGCCCTTTAGAAGGAGAGCACTGCACTCGAGACACAGGCACAACAACGCAACACAACCTAAAACCTTGAAGCAGCATCCCCCCACATGCATTAGTGCCTTGTATTGCCAGATTATTCTCTCTATTCACTGGAAGGCACAGCTAAAAGGCTGCACAATATATTGTATCAGCATTAAAAAAAATGATGCAACCTTGAGAAATAAATATATATATGTGACGGCAAATTACCCCAGTGAGATGTGATGCATTAAAAAAGACTCAAATACTATTCCCACACAAAAGTCTGACCAAAAACACATGATTGGTTGGCAGGGGCTTGCAGAATTTTGTAACAACATGAAGTAACAACTAATTTGTATTGATTTAATCCTTGTGAAGTTGCACAATTCTGGCTTTGCAAAATGGGACACAGGATATTTACAAGTTTCCCTCTGTGCGTTAATCTACATATTTAGTAGTTAAATGCTTAATATTAAAATTTATTTAGAAAAAAATGTGTTTTCACACTAATAAAAAGAGTAAAAAGTAAATGCATCTTTGAGCAGGTCCCTATGCATATCATAAAGTAATGCCAAACCCTTGATTTATACAAAAATCTGAATATTTATGTGATTTTTTCCTGACATCGGCCTGTTTTCTTTAACTTTCTATTTTGTACAACTTCTTCGGATGTTTCAGTTTGATTCACAAGAGGCTCGGATAACCTTTGGTAAACATCGACAATAACACGGTGAAGCTTGGCAAACGCACACGCTGAACGAATGCTGAAATGTCTTCATCTTATCCAACATGGCAAGCAGTAAACGGGCTTCGCTCCAACCACAACAAACACAGTTAGCTCTCCAACACATGGTGTGTTCGGCCAGGGCTGTCTCCATATTCACTCAGAATCTGCCAAACAGCGACACTAGCCTCCAGCTAACCACTTAGCATGCTAACTACGCTCCTGCTAAACTGACGAACTTTAGCCAATGTTGAACGAACAGTCGCTAACTCAGCACAAAAAACAATGACACATGAAAGTAACGTGCAATCCGATTTGAGATTTAAACGAAACGTACACTCAACCGTGCCTCCACAAAGTACAACTGCACGCACTACGTGCAGTAATTTGTTTTGCAAGCTCAATGTCTGCGCCGTCTAATTGAGTTATCTGCAGAAAACACTGTTGCCACAAGTGGCGAGATTAGCCGAGAAGCTAACGATCGCTAACAGGCTAACGCCGAGGCGAGAGCCTCTGTCAGACAGACACACAGCCGAGATTGAATATCTCTCGCGCTGGATTTCACAACCCAAAACACGCCGTCTATTCTTCACAAGGAGCGCGAAGACATGTTGCTACTTACAATTTGACACTTTTGGCGGAATCCTCGCTGTTAAATTCCGTTTAACCGAAGCAACTCTGACCTTCGCGGTAGTGAAACAACATTTCTGCTGCCTAACTGTGCCGCCATGTTCCTCCTGCTCTGCAAACCAATGCTGAGTGTTTATCTGACTGGTAGCTGCTATCCTCCCCCACACCAAACCACATCACGGGGCTCCAGCAACTCACTCACCGCCGAGGGGGGGCGGCGCATATGCATCCCTACAGCGGGTTACCTGTTAGGATTACGGTTCTGGCTGTTTGATTAATCAACATTCCTCCGTAGGCATTTAATCTGGCAGCCGCCGACAGTTTCTTGGAATCACCACCATAATATTTTAATGTTGTGGAAAGGATCGCGCGCGCTAATACTTTATGGTTTCTCCTGAATAAACCATGATTGTAAAAATTCCGGTTTTAGCCCTTAGGCAAAACAGGACAAGGTTAAACAAATACAATATTTAAATTTAAGATCATAAACATCTATGTGATGTCATATAAGTATGAATATAAACTTGTGCCGCAAGCAAAACGGCGTTGTTTTCATTAAAACACCTGCAACTATGATTTACAAATTCTCAGTTGTAATAAAAAGTGTGCATTTTTTTAGATAAAAGTGTAATCAACTGAAAATTTATGCCGGAAAACAAACAAAAAAAGAATAATCTATCTTGATTTACTGTCCAGTCAAATGCCCATGGATAAAGCAAGCAAGCGGAAGTGCATATTTAATCTTGGGCAACACCACCCCCTAGTGGTAGATTCCTCGTTAAGAGCAAGGTTGGAAAAGTTTTTAGGAAAATTGGCAAACAAAAACTGTTAAATATAATTTTAGGACCCCCAAAGTTACTTAAAATGTAAAAATAAATAAACATGTACCATATTCACTTGAAGTGATCATGAGAAAAGTATTTTTTTAAAGGAAGCAATTTTAAAGGGGAAACAAAATTTGGCTAGCTTTTAGCAACCCCTAGTGTCCGTATGTAGAACTGAAAGCAAAACGTATCTCCTCGATGTGTGTTAGTCTTTTTTTACACCTTAATCTAATAGTTGAAATGTCTCTACAGCCTTCCTTAGTGCCTTCAGGAGCGGTAATAACATATAAATGAACAAATTAGCAGTGTTCATGATCTAAACATGCAGGAAACCTGCTGGAACCAGACTGCAGCGCCAGGTATGTCAGCTGATTGCAGCATGCCAGTCTGGATGCAAGTGGAATATTCTGGCCACAGGGGGCAATAGGGGATGGGTGGCCTCTAACTCTGTAAAGGGTTACTTTAGCACATACTGACCCAAGAAAATGACTCAAAAATATGAAAATTTTGCTAAGTATCCCTTTAATGGCTCGACCTTCACATGAAATGGGTGGGTCTAGGTATAACCACGCCCATTTACACAATCATGACTAGAAAAAATATGGATATCTCCATTGTAACAATTGAACCATAACAGCATAACTGAATGTTTTAAATACAATTTTATTTTTTAGTTGTGCTACGAGTAGAAATTTTTGATTTTTTAAAAATATTTTATCATGCTTACTTGTATATGAGGTTACTTCATTTCCAACCATCTCCAATTTCGATTGATCTTCACAACCTATCACTTTCCAATGACAACATTGTTGTAATGCAAATCAAACTAAACCCATTCATAAATGTACTCCATTAGAGATATTTAACTCAAATTTAAAAATAAGCTGATTCTGGTTTTTGGTGGTCAGTGCAGAGATCCGTACAGCTCTGTTGCAAAACCAATTTTGATATTTTTCTCAGATTGCCAAGAGAATTCAAACTCTGGAAGTAACATTTTCCAAATAGAATCTAGAATTAGCGCTTAGCGACGGCTAGTAATTATTAAATAACGGCCAAATCCGGTCACCAGTGAACTTTTGGTGTTATTTTTCAAACCAGGTCTTTTTATTTTACAGGATAACCCCCAAGATAACAGAGTGTCTATGCACAGCTGAGTGGTCTCTATAAGTTTATGGCATACAGTCAGCGACAGTCGACTAGGCTCATTTGGCACAGTCAATACTGGGTAATGGGGAAGGAATATTCCATTTGCAGTCCATGCGTTTACAACAAACCTTTCTTGCAGACATTTTCAAGCTAAGCGGCAATCTCAAGACCAAACGTACATCAAAACCATTCCATTTAAGACATTAAAGAGACCAGCAGACTACACATTCAGTCTAAAATGACAGTTGTTGCTCATTTCCTTTTCATACAAAGTTACTGAAACCTAAAAAGCACAAACTGTCATCGACATTATTATTAATACAGCAGCAATGGTGTGAATTCATCATCTATTGTGATACCAAAGCTGCTCTAAACTCCAATAATTAAATGCTACAACGGGTTACTAAATCTTTGCCAGCAGTTCTGTACAATACTGAACAGTAAATGTACTTACACGTTACAAAATAGTGGCTCCAGATTTCCTCGCTTTCTTTTATACACAATTAATAAGCTATGATAGAAAACTAGAAGATTGCGGCATGGTATGGTCAAAATGTGGTCATCAAAATCTATGATGTCATCTCTAAAGGACAAGGGTTAGCCTACTAGAGTGTACTTCATTTGAGGAAGAAAAAAACTAAATACCTGCAAAAATCCTTCAGGAAGGAGAGTCAGCTGCAAAGACTTAACGATTATAAATACAAGGCAAGAAGGGAAATAAAGTGGAATGCACAGCATCTGAGGAAAAGCATCACATGACCTGAATTGGGAGAAACAGTGAGGTGATCATTCCTGAAGTTTGAAAATTACACACTTTGTACAAAAACAATCTATATCAACAGGCACTTCTTAAATAAGGTCTTCTTTCCCTCATTTTAATCAGGTAATATTTTTTTTTATTCACAATGGAACGGCAGGGGCAGAGATTCAGAAGTGACAGGTGACGCTTGAAATGTTCCTGGGATTTCCAGCTGGGAGGGCAGTCCTGTGAGGGAGTTAAGAAACGCACATGATGGAGGTCAAGTTGCCAGCTGGACACGGCCATGAAGGCCCCAGAAGAGGTGGTTCTTTGAGATAGGTGCGGTTATCTGGATGGGGGGTGAGACTCGGGAATGTTTTTGTTCTTCTTATGATGATTTCTCTTTTCTTGATCTTGGTGAATCGGCGCCATGAAAGTTCACTCCATTTACACCGTTGACTGAAAACAAAGGGAACACGAGTTAGTGTTGATTCAAAAACAGTGTCAGATTTCATTCTCCGCCCACCGCGGAAATGTTTTCGCCTGTGTCCGTGCTGCTCGTCTGTGTTTGTTTAACAAAATGTCAAAAACCACCAGAGGGACTTTAAGAAAAATACGAAAGTCTTCAATGGATGTTCATCTACATCCAATTTACATTTTGAGTCAATTAAAGATGGCCACCACAAACACATTATCATAGCAAATGCAAAAAAAAAAAAAGAGCTATAATTCAGTCCATATTACAGCTACCCCGATACAAGAAATCTACACAAACTGATTCTGTTCTTCACGTTGGACCCCACTGTAGTCTCAGCAGGTCTACCATTGGCTTAGCTACATCTAGCTGGGGCCAATCAGATTGCTTTCATTTTGTAGAGACATTGGGTGGGATTAGCACCGTTACGTCAGAGCCTTTTGACACCGGCAGCTCAGGAGAAGCGCTCGATTGAAACGGCGTTGAGACACGAGCGGATGGAGGTACTTCTACATTTCAACAGTGTATGGCGGCCTGCCCCGTTGATAACGCGTCACATCTCTGCTCTGATTGGTCCTAGCACTGTCCAATTGCATACAGAGAGTTTCAAAGACATTCAAACTCGCCCCACGATCAAGTTCTGTCTATAGGTCGTGGTCAGACTATACGTTTTACGTATAGGATGGCTCGCTAGGCTACATGAATTTGGCATTAAAGTAGTTGAGAATCATCCCCAACACATTCTCGGCACTCACAGCTTGCGTGAGATCTTGGTAAGTAATTGCGACGCTGTTTTTTATGATACGTTTCATGAGATACTAGAAGGATAATGAAATAGAAACCATTAAATGTACCTTTAAACTACCATTTCAGATAGTGTCTACAGCTAACTGGGCTGTACAGTGTGACATATGTAAATTACTCAATCTTTGTGTAAGGAAGAGGCAAAGCCATGGAACGCCACTATGCCAAATAGTGGTTGTAGTCTTTTGTGATGACCAAGTGTTACCTTGTCAATAGTTACTTTTATATTCTGCTAAAATTCCCACATGTTTACTTGTATTATGCTGCACGCTCTAGGGAATCGGGTGGAAATGGGAAGGTGGGGTTTTCCGGCCGAAAATTGGAGCGGTTTTTCAAATCTTTAACGGAGCCGAAAAACAAGCATGCGACCAAGAAGAAACAAAAACCTGCGCCAAACCAAGTTACGTCTGAGAAGGGAAAAGTTTAGTACAACACGATGGTGTTGTGCCTGAAAGAGTTCCACGAACAATTTTTCGTGTACTCGTTTGTTTTTTGTGTGAACGTGAACGGAATTCGCTCGTTTTGCCTGATGAACATTAAGGTGAGCATGCTCATTCTGACGTGTGTGAACGGGTTTAGGAGCGGCGTTGTAAAGCCGCACACATGTACCTCCCATCTGCAAATAAATACCCTTATGTGTCCGCTGCTTTGTATTCATGTTTGTAGCACCTGATCGGGGTAGGACGGGGGAGTCCGTGTCACTCACTCCGGCTCCGACCGGCTCTAAGAGCCGTTCTGATGCGACCAACACATCACCTGCATGGCCACATTGTTGTAACGTGCTACTTTACATGCCCGGTAATGAAAGGAAAAGTAATTAGATTACTCTGCTACCTAAAAACACAGTTAGTAACGCATTAAACCGCTCAGCAGCCAAGAGTCTGAGCGCCAACAGACAAACTTTATCATTTAAAATGTTCTTAGAAACTCCGATATGAAAGACGGTTTTCAAACAGCTAAAGTCTGTTTTTTCCTCCCAGCGTTATCGCTCGCTCACCTTTGTCTTTCTTCGATTTGCCCTTGGAAGGAGCTTGTTTCTTTTTCAAGCTCTGGGCATCAGAGTGCTCTCTCCATCGACGGAGCTGGAAGTTGATGAACTTCCACATCATGAAGGCTTGTGTGCAGCAGATGGCTGACAGGACGGTGATGCTAGTGGACGAGAGGGGGGGAGGGGGGGGGGGGAGGCAGAACAATCAACACATAAAAAAACAAACCAAGGATGCACCGATGCCGACACCAGGATGCAGATACCAATGCAGCTGCTTGAAAGTGGCTTCACCGTAATTTGTCATTTTCTGTTCACCTAATATTTTAGCGTTGTGATCACTTCTATTTTATTTTTTATCTACCTCACAGTCTTTTCCTGTTGAAAGCAGAGAAGAAAATAAAACCTGTATTCCAATTCATATCATTTTTGTGTGGTAGAAGCATCGGTATCGGCGAGTACTCAGATCCGAGTATCGGTATCGAATCGGTTTGGAAAAAAGTGGCATCGTGGCATCCCTAAAAAAAAATAACACTTTCCTTTCAATTTAAACCCTGATCGTCTCCTTGATCTACAGATGGGAGGCTTCTGATTTTAACGCAGAATCAACAGATGCATGCTGGCTGCATTTCACACCAGATCATGTAAGCTTCTGTTAACATTCTGTTAACATCCTCTTCCACAACAGAGTCCTTCCTGTTCATGTCTCACATATTTGAGCAGAAAACGCGTGAAGACTGATGACTTATCCCGCCTGAGAAGATGATTTCTTTTAGATTTCACGTACTTTTTGGGCTCCTTGGAATTATTTCCATCTTCAGAATAACTCACCGAACAAAGAAAATGTTGAAGTTCCCAGCAGCCAAATCGAAGCCTTGATTCTCAGCCGTGGAGAGGCCAAAGCCCACGGTGAGGACAGACAGGGACAGGGTGAGCAGCCGCGCGAGGACAAACAAGACAGCCCAAACGGTGAAACTGTGACCAAAAAAACAAACAATCGTCTTCTATTATTTTAAATTTTAAAAATCTGACAAAATGAAAATAGAAAAAAATAAAACTTCACCCCATTTGTCTGTTCTCGTTGCTAAAGTAGACCAGGCGGGAAACGTGGAACAGCAGCTCCACAAAATAGTGCAGCACCAGCAAAACCAGGCCCAGACGGTTCAGACTGAAACACACACGCAGGAATCTTTTAGAACACCACACACTTCTTTCAAACACAAACAGAACTCCTCAGAACTGCACACATAATTGTAGCTTTTCTCAGGTGGCAGCGCTTACTTCAGAACGTAGGCGCCAGCGATGTGGACCAGGTACAGGGAGATGTACACGAGCTGACGTGGAATATCCTCCTGCACGGTAAACACAAGAGGCCGGCGGGCGACACCGAGAGTGGTCAAAATATTTACGTCGGTGTAGTTCTGCACGTTCATTTCAGCAACACGAGATTATGACTCTACGAAACAATAAAACGCGGGCCGAGGAAGCCAAACAGGCAGGGTTTCAGCCGCATCCCGAAGCAACTCACTTTCTTTGTCTTTTGGAAGTAAAGTTCTGGGAGAGAGTGCAGCCAGTAGCTCAGCTGGCAAATGAAGAAAAACTTCATCTGGAATCTGAAAGAGAAGATTATTTATTTTTTGTTATTTTTATTAAATAAAGTGAAATTTCGTCTCCATTGAATCCTAAAACAACTGAGCGACTTACGGCATCAGTGTGTGAGGATAACCCTTCCACAGAGAAACGGGGTTGGACAGGAAGTTCTCCTAAGAACAAAGAGGCTTTTAAATATAGCGCCTGCCTTAATCAGAAGCGAACAAAAACAAGGCGAATGTAACGGCGGCGCGTACAGAAAGCAGGATGCTCGTGCCCCAGCTGAAGGAGAACAAGTAGAAGGCGCTGAGCTGGCCCGACTCGTTGAACTTGCTGTGCTTGGTTTTGGAGAAGTGCTTCTTCCTGTTGATTTTCTGCAAAGACAAACAACAATAAGCGAGAAATGCAATGAAGAAAAAAAACAACAACAAAAGTGTGCGAGTTCCTGGCTTACATCCAGCACATACTCCTGGATGATGGCGTGCATGATGATGGCCACCAGCATGTAGAAGAAAACCGTGGCCAAGTCCTTGATGCCGTGGTGGAAGTGGTTCACCGCCGTCTCCTCCGGGCCGTCTGTGGTGCAGACACTCGTCATTTTAAACGTCTGATTCATTCACTTTGTAAATACGACGCGCGGAAGTTTAATTACCCTAAATCTCAAAGGGCGGCGTTTGGATTAGTGTGTCTCGACTTCTGAATTACACCATGATTAAAAAACATCATAACTTCTCACAAGTGTCCTAAACACACGCAAGCATAGTCCAACCCATAAAAATGGAAGAAGTTGCTTTTACTTGTAATTTATGAAACATTCAAATCGTTCAACTAAGTCAGTACAGACAGAGAAAAAAATGTTGCGTGACATTTCAATAAATCCTAAACTTGAGCACTCCAAGTAACACGTAGAGAAGGTTTTTGCACCTTGTTTCCTTAAATAAATAATAATAAATAAAGCTATATATATGTATATATAAATATATATATATATATGTAAATATATATATATATATTTATATATACATATATATATATATATATGTATATATAAATATATATATATATATGTATATATAAATATATATATATATATGTATATATAAATATATATATATATATGTATATATATATATATATATATATATATATGTATATATATATATATATCCTTGCCGAGCCTGTAGGTGGCAATAGTTCCACAAAATGTTGGCGTCTTCGCCGAAACATATTCCTTTGATGTGGAATAAGTAGGGGGTGGCAATAACTATCCTTAATGGCGTCCTTCACCGGTGGTCTTCACAGAGCAGTTATCGTGCTAGTGTAAACACATCACACACGTGATTACTTACGTCCACGAGGAAAATTTGCATATCTTTTTGAAAGAATTGTTTTTATCTTCATTTTCACGTGGATGATGGGCCAAACCAAGCAAAAATATCTTCGTTTTGTGGGATGCCCGGCTAGGAGTGTAAATGGCCTCAAACTTAAAGCTACAATAGCAAATTTGGAAAACAGGCTAGCTTAAATTTTATTTTTCATGCCTCTTAACAACACTCTAAGTAGTATAGCTATGAATATATTGTGGAGATTAAAAAAAACTGACAAAAAAGTGGTGCTTTCACTTTTGTCTGAAAACTTCAGCCAATAAGACGGCTAGTACCAAAACCAACTATTGGACGGTCGGTCTCACCGCACTTCCCCGGGCTCTCCATCTATTACGCAGTCACAACTTTAGCAACTCTACTGGGTGAGCGGATACCCTCTCAATTTCAGAGAAGGAGGAAACAGCCGGCTGCTACCACTTCAACTTTAGGACAAACTACCATTTGAAGTCATGAAAAACAAAAGATGTTGTTTTTTTTTTACTTTTTTTTTTAGTTTGACATTACACAACATACTTTAGCAACGCTGACACTGAACAAAAAGAAAAAAGGAATAACAAAAATTCTGTAAAGAATGAAAGTACAATCATTTCATTTAATCGCTAAGATTATATATATTCTTTTTCGCCTTTACATCCACCATTTTCATAATTTCATAGCAAAAATTCCTATCGACATCAGAGTAGACAGCAGAAAAAACAACATCCCAATACATCACATTGCCAAGTACTGTTTGACACATTCCCATCTATCCTGGAATTGAACCACCTTCATTTGCAATATAGACGTCATCTGTTCCATTACATATATTAGTTTAATTCTCTCCTTTCATTCTTTTATAGTTGGGGGGTTTACTTATCGGGGGTTTGTAAAGGATGCCCTATCCCCACTGTGCTGGAGGAATTGTGGGGAGGTGGGGACCACTCCCATATCCTCTGGGATTGCCCAGTTATTCTTAAATATTGGAGACATAAAGGAAGAGTTGGAAATTTTTTTGGGAAAGGAGTTACCTTCACACCTTTCTTCTACCTGTTGGTGGTTACATCAAGCGAAACATTAAATTTGGACCAAAGATATATTGCCCGTATCTTATTATTGGCTGCAATGAAAATTATAACAGTAAAACAAAAGATGTTGAAATGTAGAAAACGGTGACTAGCATTTAGCGCTTTCGATTCGTCTGGCAATGCGGGCTTCTTGTTACGACGGGGTGATACCGTGTTAGTTTTTAAAACAGTGCTTCCCCTACATTCCACCAACACGTCTACCCCCCCCACACACACACACACACACACACACACCACCACCACCACGGCTGGAAAAATTTCTATGTGAAACACTGTCAAAGCTCTTTCTGTAAATTTGCTATTGCAGCTTTAAGCTTGGATACACAACTATGAAGTAAGGCCCATTTTGCTCCGAAGCCCAGATTTGTCCTACACAACCTTGCCACTGGAAAACTTAAATATAAATCAGGAAGGCTAAATTTAGCTCCAGTAAGAAAAAGCGAAGAAAAGAAAAGGGCTCTCTCAAACAGGTTCGTCTAAGGCCACTCAAGCACCGCTCCGGAATCAAAATGAGAGGCTTCCAGGGAGAAAATGCTTCGTAACAGGACAAATCTAACCGATTCACTCACCGTTTGTTGAGATGGTCACATTGTACTGGACAGTAATGAATATCACTGCAAACTTTGAGGTGACCTGCGGATTTAAACAGAATAAAGGAGCAAATTAAAAAAAGATTCAGTAACTTTACTCTCCAGAAAAAACTAAAAACAGAATTTGAAACTGTGTGGCTAACTTATGCAGGAACTTCTAATTGAAGTGGTGTAATGTCTTCAAATGAAATCAGGTTTATACTGTAAAAATATTAAATTATATTGGAGGGTGATGAGATTTTAACAACAGCCATTTTAAGACAGAAATTCGTAATATATAAACATATGTCAAAGTAACTGACATATTCCGTTAACATATTAACAAAATATTAATATAAACCTTATTCAGACACACAGGTCCAGTATAAAATATTTATTTATTTAACCAAGAAAACTATTGAGATAAAAAACCAAATTTACATCATAGTAATTCAAATATAAAATACATAAAAGTAACAGACTTAAAAATACAAATCGAAATTGTTTATTTCTGAATAATAACATTAGCAAAATTGCCTTCCACAAACAAAGAAAAAACCTATCAAAAACAAATTTCACATCATTTTTCTTTTCGTTTTACTTTGAAAATCTCAAACAGGAAGTAGCTCTAAATGTGGTTAACTGGATAGCAGAGCGTCGTCACCCTCCGAGCGAGGTTGGAAACAGACGTAACATGAAACAAAATGCGATTTAAAGTACAACACAAAAATTTTTAAACGTCGTGTGTTCGGACCACGGCCTCTGGTCGCGTCGTAGACGAATTCCAGCTCCGAGAGGGTAAACTTTTAGTTTTTTTTGGGTGCAGGCGGGCTTCAGCGGTGACAGCCCTCTGTGTGATTGCCACGTAACACATCTACGCATAAACTAACCAAGAGACGAGTGTTGCAACATATACAAACGCTGAGGTCGATGCAGGTTTAAAATTTGCACCAAAGACACGTTTTAAACAAGCCGGCTTGCTTATAAATATATATATTTAAGATTATGATAAAAAGGATGGGCCTAGAGACAAGTGTTGGAAGATATTGACTTCAAGAAGAAGCCAGATGGAAAGTGAGCACTGTATCCGAAGTCACTTTCTCATATAGTAGGCACATTTACTGTTAAAAAACTAAATTGGTGGTGTTGTAGAGCAAAAACACACGGAGCCAAACCACTGTGCACAGAAAACTTTCGATCACGAGAGGAAGCAATGAGAAGAAAAGGAGACAGCCATGTCAGTCTTCATAACAGATGGGACGAGGTCAGCTCTGTTCACCAACTCTTCACGCACCCAGCTCTCGGGAGCATTAAAAACCACCAAGAACCGCACTCAACATGTGGACTCACCTCAAACATCAGCCCGAGGAGGAACACCATAGCAACACAGGAAACAATATCTGCATGGTTCTGGATGACAAACTCGTGGCTCAACACCGGCGGGTTCTTGTTGGTCTTCTTTCGGATCGGCATAGCGGCGCGGTTTTATGCTAACAATCGCTTCCTCTACACGGTTTTTCTCCTTCCAGATGGTGAGATGTTCAGTCAGCTCGCTGTGCTCACTCTCTGCACAGGGCCAGGCAGCTCTTGAATGGCGTGTCACTCCTCTGTTAGTGGGAGGATCCGCGGAGAGAGAGGGCTGCGCCTGGCCTGACCAAAGAGGCGCGTCGGGCGCTCTCTATCGCCCTCTAAAGGCCCGGAGGAGAATGACAGGCCCTAAATTCAGACTGATTCTACTATTCTTATCTGGATGATTGTTATGAGGAGCAACAAATGTCCTAACCAGGTAACAGCAGCCTGCATTTTTAATTTACGGGAGATTTTCAATGAGTGCAAAAAATGAGGAGGCTATGGAAGCCAATCTCTGCTTCCCAAAGGAGAAAAAAGATTACATGAAAAAGTGACTGTGCCTAGTTTCCTGGCAAGTGGGGGGCAGCACATACATTTCAGGATAGTTTTACCCTATACTGCCGTGACTGCTGCAAGTTTTTTTTTAAATACGGTTAGTGTTTCTTGTTGAGAGAAAAAAACACACAACCTCGGTGTGACTCCTCAGACTTTGATCGTCCTTCAATTATTTCCATCGAGAATGTAATGCCGATGCTAGTTTTTGGGCGGTGTAGGCTCCAGGTCTGCTGGGGGATCTGCGACTGCCAATGACATCAAACTACGGTAATACCACTGGGACAAAATATAATGCATTACTTTTTCAATTCTGTTCTTTCACATAGATTTTGGAAAGCGTTTAGCAGTTTTGTTATTAACATCAAGTTTCAAGTATTCATTTTCAACAACATTTCAATGGATATTTCCAGAGATTAATGGTAAAACTACACATTGTCACTTAAAGTCATTATTATGACTGTAAACTTTGTAATTATTATGTACAATATATGAATATGAGATACAAATTCAGAATTAAAACATACAAAGTCGTGTGTGAGTGTGTTACAGTTAGACGATAAATGGTCATCGTGAGAAAACTAAAATTTGGAAAGTCATAATTATAAGATTCAAAGTCATTATTGTTACTTTAAAGTGATACTTTGCAACTTTTTCATATTTTAAATCATTTTCCTGAGCCAGTATGTGCTAAAATGAGCCCTACAGAGTTAATTAAACGCCATTCAGCCCCTAACGCCCCCTTTAGCCAGAATATTTCACCTGCAACTTCCGAGTTGCTGGTCTGGTCTATTTGACTTTGGAAAAAATGCACATACCTGGTGCTGCAGTGTGGTTCCAGCTTGTCTCCTGTATGTTTTAGGTTGTGAACACAGCCGATTTGTTTAATTTAGTGATGAATCACTCCTGTAGATACTAAGGAAGGCTGAGGAGACACTTCAGCTGTTAAAGAGCGGGTCAATTGAGCCTCGGAGTCCTTCTCCACCCACGTATCAATTTTAAAAAATGCAACATTAGTAGGCGTTGCCTGGAGGACCGAGAGGGCGGAGCCGCGGCAGTGACGAAGACGATGGCTAACTAGACGAAGCTAGCTCCCTTCACTCTGAGCAGTTATTAGAAGTGGAGGACGTTTCTCCCCCTCCTTACACAGACACTCGAGAAGAAAGGGACCAAGTCTATTTGGAGGAGACAAGCGGACCTGAGTCTTATTGTTTTGAGCTTGTGAGTTGCCTGAAACTCCCAGAACCGACCCAACAGAATCACCTCTGAAAGGTAAGTAGCCGTTAGCCATAGCATTGGATTAGCTGCAGGGTTTGTCTCCACGGCCCTAAAAAGCTAGTATTCAGCATGTTTTAGAGGTTTATCTGCTTCAGCACACCTGGTTTTAATCAGCAACAAATAGCTGAGCTGCTTAACAGTTAATCTAACCTGTTAAAGCAGGAAAACCACTGAAACGTGCTGGATAGCAGCTCTCCGGTAGCTCTGGGCTCAAGTTACAGTCTGCTGCATATAAAGTTATGAAAATACCCCATGAGAAAATTATTCTGTAATGTGTTCAGCCCACTAAAACTGCCCTGATTTCTTTATTTATTTACTGATAACAGCTGCTCTCTTGGTTCTAGGTCCTCTGGTGTCTGCAGCTGGTCTCTGGTGTCTGCAGCTGGTCTCCTCTGCTGGTGTCATCAGGAACTTTCAGAAGAACGTGCCTTTCAATGACTCTTTCCCCCTTATTTGTTATATTAATTAAATAAATCTCAATTTATATATTTCCTGTTTTTGTTCATGTCCATAAATACTTAAACATGCTTGAAATTAGAACGAGCTTTTAACAGTGAGGTGCTAGCTTAATTAATCACAATAGAGCTAGTTAAACATGCAACAAAAATGTGATATTCAATGTAATTTATAAATATCCATTAAAATATCAAAACGAATCTAAATGAGATATTTGGCAGCACAAAAAACTTGTCAAACACAATATTTATTATAATTGTAGGCAGACAGGAGACAGAGCTGATGGAGGTTCTCAGTCATCGAAGGATGGCTGAAGGCTTTCCAGGAACAGGAGATGTGGTGTGGTCTCTTCTCTCTCTATTCAGCAGGATGAGCTGATAGGTTACAGGTGTGTGAGGACATCCTCATGCTGTCATAACCAGATGACAGGGGTTATCAGGTGATCAGCCAGGCTAATGAGATGCAGAAAGAAAACAAATTCAGGACAGTGTACAATATGTGGTGTTGCTCACCTTATGTGCTCTTATAGAATATTAATGTGTGCATGCCTCATGGTGTAGAGTCTATATTTTGCTGAGTGTCCTGCAATAATGCATGTTATTAGTTAATTTACTTTTGATAGCAAAAACAAAATATTTAATGTAAAAGTTATTTTCCAGGAGAATCAGCTCACACGTCACCACCAAGTGTCACGGGGGCAGAATCAGTAGCCTCCGTCATGATGTAATCACATACTTATTTAATTGTTAATATCTTAAAAATTCTGAAATGTTTTAATTTTTTTTTAACCTTGAACAGTTCACTGAGCTTGCACTGTCACTGAGGTGGAAGCTGGAATCAACAGCAGACACCTCACATCTTGGTCTTTTCAGGGGGTCTGGACGCTCTGGGACCTTCTGGAAGATGAATTTTCATCATGGTCACCGTGGGTCACCAGACACACTGCGGCTGTGAGCTCTAAACTGGATGGCTATGTAAAAACAAAGAAGCAGCACATTTATAAATGTTTAAAAGAGCATAAAATCACGTGTAAAAATAATCTGTAAAACAAATTAAAACTAGAAGGTGATAATAAAATGTTTACATAGAAGATTATTAAAAATAATTCACCTTTGCTACAGGGAAGGTTTCACATCAGCCTGGACAAGTACATTCATGCAGCTAAATCAGTCTGACAGCCAGTGTCTTGGGTAGATTTAGCCTGAAAAAAAAATAGAAGCACATTGTTGTTGGAGTTTATAAAGTCAGATAATATATAAAAGAATCTCCTATATAGGCGCTTTATAACATTCCTAGTGTGTGATCGTTGTTATAACGTAAAAGTCCATCACATATGATGTGGAGAGCCTGAAATGCGACCTCCTGAACAGAATTCCTTACAGAACCTGTTCACAAGCTGGATTTCACGCTGTAATGCTGTCTGTCAACTAGTGCAGCGTTAGTTAGAGACACTGTTGCAGAATTGCCGACTGACTAGCTAAAGGAAGTGAACCACGTCTCTCAGACTTTGCATTTAGGTAGGGAATTGTCTTTAGAAGATGTTAAAACGTTTATTTAGCTGACTCACCTCAGACTGGAGCCCGCCGTGGTGGGGGAGCAGAGTCGGTGGGCTGCATCTAAATCGCGGAAGAGCCACGGTGGGCAGCCTCCCTCTTCAAACGGAGGCGCGCAGAATCGCGGGTAAAATGCCCACAGAGTCACCGCAAGCATACTACACTACACCTACTCACCAATACTAAGACGATATGGAACACTAAACCAGAAATACTTTCCCAATTACACTAACAGCCAAACACTAACTCAACTACAATATCCAACAGCCAAATCTAACACTAAATAAGTATTTATAACACTAAAAGATATGCTAAGACTAGGATATGCTAATGCTATATGCTAATGCTGAACTACCGCTGACCTCCTATGCTCGCTTGCAAATCCAACTCCCACTCGCCACAGGGCGTGGCCGAGACGCTCGTTGCTTTTATAACTTTGGCACGGAGCTGCTACGTAGTACTCTACTGGTTTACGTAGTACTTTACTCTTTAGCCATTGGCTAAAATTTATTCAAAATGACAAAAATTCTATGTTTTCAGCTGAAGGTGGCGCATTACTGTGGTTTTTAGACAGAATTTTTAATTTTTAAAGAAAATGCACCAAAATGCTAAAATAAAGAATGCACACATTTAAAACACTATTAGACACTCATTTATACAGTTCATCAGCAAAAAAAAGTTAATTTAGACGTTACTTGCTCTTTAAATGAAGGTTTTGAAAAGACAAACACACAGCGAGGAGATAGATTCTGCTTTCGATTCTACAAACAAACAGTAGGGGGTGCTAAAAGCAAGCCAAAACTGGACAGTCTCCCTTTAAAACTCATTATGGGTGAAAGTGAAACTTCAGAGATAAAAAGTTTTAATTTCTAATTCAGATATTTTTTGTCTTTTTGCCTTCCATAAAAATCACATGCAACAATTCACACAATGTCCCATTGTAAGTAAAAAATTAAAACGTTATTAAAAAGATTTCTTATTGTGTTGCCTGTTTCCATAAAATTATGGAGCCTCTAGATCTTGCTTCGTTGATTCTAAATGTTCTTCTGTATTTTTTAAATAAGATTCTTGATTTTTTCAACATTTATGAACATTTTGTAGAGAAAATGACTCATTAGAGATATTTATTATTTGAATAATCAGAATACAACTTTTTAAATTTACAGTCTGGAGTATATGGACCAGCGGCATGGATTACCATAAACCTGTAAAACTAGTGGGCCATTCCCATCTGTACCGGGTCAGCCCGGCCCGGATAGCTCCAGTCGGCCCCAGCCTGGCCCGGTTGATTCCACATATCCTTGCTTAGGTATGCAAGAAATGCAGTCAGAGACATTTTCAGCTTCTAGGTAATCAGCATGATAATGAATGATAATGAAGTGAGCTTGCCTTAAGCCCATGTGAGCTGATTCGACCCACCAATCAGAGGCTTGCTGTAACGGAAGCTGTGAATTTGCTGTCAGCAGTGGGTGTGTTGGCCCTGGTCAGCTTGAAGCAGACCACCTCAGAAAGAGGGCTGAAAAACAGTCTTGTTGCACCCTGAAAAAAGGCAGGCCACCAAGATATGTAAGCAAGCTATGCTATCCGGGCCGGGCCGACCAGGTACAGATGGGAATGGCCCATTACATATCACACCTTCCATTAGAGCATGCCTCTAATTGGTGGGTCGAATCAGCCCACATGGGCTTAAGGCATGCTCAATTCATCATCATGCTGATTACCTAGAAGCTGAAAAATTCTATGACTGCATTCCTTGCATACCTAAGCAGGGATGTGTGGAATCAACCGGGCCAGGCTGGAGCCGACTGGAGCTATCCGGGCTGGGCCGACCAGGTACAGATAGGAATGGCCGATAGATTGTTGCTGCAGATATGAGCAGGCACTGTGCGACTTTTTCACTCGTAGCACTCAGCTTCAGCTCAAACTGTACAACTTCATCGCAGGGCAGATCTCACGAGTCATGCGCTCACACTGTACGTCTGGTAGCAACAGGTCGGACCTAAAAATATGCTAAAAATAGCAGTTTTTACACAACATGTCAAACTTTTTTGTCTTGCCTGTTGTCCTTCGGGAGTGCCTCAGGGGGACACACGGGGATTTATGGGGGTTGGATGAGGAAAACGAAATAAAGTAAATCTGTGTTTTGTGATCAGTTTAATTTGACATGAACACGACAAACACGCTTTCTTGACAATCTTTCTGAGTACAAAAACGTGTAGAAACAAAAACGAACAACGTGTGTTATTGGGGAAATAGCGGGCGAGCGGTGTTGATGCATGACTGCGCATGCGCCGTGAGCGGTTCTGATACTTTTTGGGTCGCAGCTGCTCGCAGCGCCGCTTCAGCAAAATATCAAACACGCCAGAAGTCCGTGGTGTTAATCGCCTCTCATAACCCTCTGTATATTAAATATATATTAATAATATTAATATTAAATACCTCTCAGCACCAGGGGTAAAACAAATAAGGGTCAAGTAGAAACACATAGCTCATTGTTACCTCTTAAATGGGTTCATCTGCACTCAGAGGTGAGAAACTGTCAACCCTGAAGGTTTTGTCTACTTTTAAATCACATGAATAATTGAGCTCCTAAAGGGTTAATGTCTAAATGCACTGCCCACATGACATTCCGCTGCTTAACGTTTGCATAAGGAGCTTCCTTATTTCACCAATATGCACAAAAAGAAACTAAACCTAACAAGCCAGTGGACTTTTGAAATGTGGTCATGAGCCTAATTTAAAAATAAAGTCAACATAACATCAAACTCTAAATATCAAGGTGTTAGCATGTTTACTGCATAAGAAATAGCTATTTATTTTGAACGTTTTTAAAATGGATTTTTAAACTTCCTGCAATAAGCCAGATTAAAAGAAAGAATACATGTGAGCTGAAGAAAATAAGAAGGAAAACCCCAGACGTGTCATCACTTGCAATCATGTAAGTTCAAGTTATGAATGCACTCTCTTACGTAATTCTTGCACATTATTATCAGCTCAATGGTTGTCAAGGTGGGGCCAGTCAGTCATAAGTGTCAAGGAAATCGACAGAGAGGTACCTATGAATCGCTGTGGCACGCCGGAGCTCTCCAGTAAGTTTTAGACCCTTTGTGATTATTCTTAGTGTTATATTGTTGTGTAAATGCGCTGTGCTGAGTTAGGCGATGGGTAACTTTTATTACTATTTAGTCATAAAACAGCATGAGAATATGAATGAATGTGTTTCAATGGAAAAACTAAAGCAACAAAATGTTGTTTTCTACTCCTTTTTTATTTCACTATTTAATCCAATCCAATCCAATTTTATTTATAAAGCGCATTCACAAGGCATTACAACCAAACAAGGCGCTGTACACTAAAAATGTTAGTTAATTAAACCGGCGTTATACAAACATGTCCTACACAGATAAAAGATAAAAAGGAAATACAACAAAATTCCCAAAAATAACAGCTAAAAATCAATAAGACACAGGGTGAATAAAAAATTAGAAAAACATTTTTTAAAAAGTATTTTAATAAAAAAGCTACATAGTTCCTGTTATTGAGAATGAGTTCTGGGTTTTCTGCTGGCACAATATCACAGCTGCTGATGACGGCACCTAATCAGCTCAATGTGACAAATAGTTTATGGTGGGCTGAAGTGCAGGCCAATATGATTCAGCGCCTGACTGAAGTCAAACTTCAAGCTGTTAAACAAAACTCTCGCCCTTTGAATAAATAGTGTTTTTATAGTTCAATACAACTGTCTCTTTCTTGTTGCAGTGTTCTGGCCGCGAGCTCAAAAATGGCACCAGAAATGGCTAAAACAGTCAAAATGATCAGTTCTCTGGATATCTCTAAGGATTTCTAACAAGTATCGGTATTTATTCCTTGGAACCTGAAGGCAACACAATGCAGCCGTCGGACGTCGTGTTCTCCAAACGGCGGTGGTTATTAAACGCCGGTGGTTTGGCCTTCTATGTTTTGGACATTTGTACCGATGTCGCACTGGCTGTGCAATATTTTGAGCAGAAGCAATATGTTTGGAGTGGAATGACTGTGATGTTTGTGATGGCTGCAGTGGTGGTGACCCAGATCTTCAGCTGCGCTTGGTACTGGGAAGACAAGGATGAAAATAATCAAACCGCACTTGACATGTCAAAGCGCAAAATTGCTGTCCTGCACGTATTTGTGTTGGGGATCAACATGAGGTACGTAAGCGCCCCCAAATGCTGTCACTTAAAAACTCACCTGTTCAAGCTGGTTTTGGTGTGACCTTCATCACCCTCTCCTTGTTCTGCTCTCCCTACCTATCAGGATCCACTGATTCCCCTCTTTCCTATTCACTCTCTCTCTTTCTTTACATTTTTTAATCACAACTGTCTATTTTTGCTCATTTTAAATACATTTTTAAACATTTTCTAAATTCTTTTTTATATTTTCACATTTTTTGTTTTTGTGAAGCGCCTCGTGAGTTTTACCTTGAGAGGCGCTATAGAAAGGATCTTTTCTTCTTCTTCACTTGAAATGTGCAAAGAGCTAATCAAACACTGACAGGGCGGTGTGATTTGCTCAAAGTGGAATGGGTGCATTTCTGTCAAATGCATCATTGAATCGGTTGGTTGTATTGTGTGGCACGATTCATTAAAGGCTCTTTGTTGCTAGGTATTATTACCTGCTGAAGGAGGGGTTCAGTGTTTGTTGGAAAACAAAACAAGCAGCAGCAGCAAATATTCACCACAAACTCTTCTGGATGGCTACTGATCTGAGCATGCTGAAGCTTTTTGAAACTTTCCTGGAGAGCGCCCCCCAACTCCTCTTACAGCTTTACATACGAGGGTACAACGAGTGGCCCCTCTTGCAGAGTAAGTAGAAACAGATATCACATCATGGATTTCTTATAGAAACATCATTCCAGATTGCTTGTTGCTCTCTTTCAGTTTTCTCTCTGGCCTTTTCTTTCTGCAACATAGCCTGGTCCCTGGTGGATTATTGGCACTGCCTCCGCAAATCTCTTCCGAACGTCAAAGATAAGTCCTCGCACCTCCCCACAGCGGTCTACCTCATCTACAAAGTCTGCACCATCACCAGTATAATTCTAAGCTACAGCCTCTACGTCACACTCAGCATCTACAGCACAGTGGGCATCACCATCATCTGGCTGCTGGGAACAACATGGGTCCACTTACTTCAGACCAACTTCTGCTCGTCTAGATGTCTCGAGCTTCTCTACCGGGCTGTAGTAGGAGTTATCCTCATTTTCAGCTTTTTCAACGCAAAAGGAAAAAACACCAAAGAAGTCATGGTGGTTTATTACGTCTTCTACAGTTTAGTATGTGTCACTGCTCCGTTGCTGTTGGCTTTCCTAAAACCAGAGATGCGGACGGCTGTGTTTTTATGGACAGTCGGAGGTTTAATCTACGGAGGTTTGTTGTTTGGGCTGTTGAGTCTCCATATGTACTACCGCTTCCTTCACCCCCCAACTTCTAATGCAAATGAGGAGAATGGCCTGAGTAATCAATCCAGAGACGACGAGGCAGATGAAGTGGATGGCCCGAGGCAGGAAACAATAACAAATAAAAGGTTAAAGACATTTTTGCAGCCTTGAACTGATGGGCCGTAAAAGACTCTTCCACAAGCCAAATAACCCAACCTGTCCTGTCCTGACGTACATTTTATATTTTATTTTTATTATATTTCATATTATTGGGCTTGTGAGATTTTAGGTGAATTCAGGTGCTGATTATATATTATTTTTTAATTTTATTTAAGAATAAATCAATAGTATTGATAATTATTTGGAAAATTGTTACAAATGTGGATAAAGACGACAAAAGCAACACAAACTTCAGAAAACGCTAAATTCAAAGTAAACTAAAATGTTCACAAAATGCAACGTTTCACTCTTTTGAAGCTTATTTTTCTGTTTTCTTTGACTATTCCTACACACATTTATTACCAAAACCAACTGAAGCTCAGAAATGCAAGGGCATGTGTTTCTGTTTGTGAATGTAGTGCCCACAGTGAACACAAGGCGGTGCTATATCCACACGTTTCAGTTCAGACACTTGGCAGATGACTTGAAATGTTCTACAGGATCAAACTGATTCTACAGCAAAAATACTGTCTTAAAGTGTATTTTAAAACTATTTCACTAACGGGAAAAGGAGGAAAAAATAGTATTTGATGTGATGACCTTTGTGCAACTGATACAATAGCAAAGGAAAGGAAAGGAACGACAGATGAAAGGCACACCTCAACTTCTCCTTGAAATCACAAGATATCCAACAGCACCAACAGAGCAGAACTGACTATTAAACTATTAAATCTGGAAATACCCATCTACAGCCTGGTAAGTAACCTGCACACTCTGAATGTGAAAATCTCATCCACTCACCTGCTCATGATGATGTTGTTTTTAAAGGGACTTTACGGACTTTTGAATTTTTATGCTCGCAATTGCCCCCTCAGGCCAAAAACGTTACAGCAGCTTCAATAGTAGGCTCTTGCCCGAGGTGCGCATGCTGTACGTGCACACTCCTTAACGAAATTAACAGCTGAGACAGTCCCGTGTGTGTGTGTGTGGCCCGGAGGACAGAGGACAGGGGAATGCACAGCGAATTAATAAAATAATTTGGTTCTGTACTTTTCTCTTCAGCACAGCCAACAAAGGTATAAGATGGGTCAGTCCTCCTGCATGCTCAGTTCATTCCCTTCCCTTGCTTGAAAAATTGTTCCAAAATGAAAGTTGAACCCACATATTTTTTATCTGTGAATTCAATGCCGTTCGGTGAGTCTCAAATAAAAATTTGGGCATCTTACTGTAAAAAAAAATACCATTAATGTAAAAAAGAAACTCTAAAAGATCTATGTTCACATCCAGAATCAAACCCAGGTCTTCTGCATGGGAGTCAGACATCTTACAAGGTGAGCTACACTCTAGTAACATTCACAGTATCTAACTTTTATATCCTTGATGACAGCTGAAACAACGTCAAACCAAAGAACGGTTTGAAGCGAAAATGGCTATTTTGTTGCTAATTTGCAGGAAATATCTAGAAGAAAGTAGCTAAGGGTCCTCAGAAATGTAGTTAGGTTTGTCACTAGGCGTTAGGAACAGCGACAAAGTGACACTACCTCTCTCTGCTGCTAAAGCTACTGATAGCAAATGCTACGTGTTATGCCTGAGCGTGAACGCACATGAAGCAGCCTGCTCGACCCGAACATCTCTCTTTTTCTGTGATTTTACAGAAAAACAGGCAATCACAGTAAAAATGCCAGGGCTCGTTCTACAGGACCAGGGCATTGCAGGAGAATGTATGAAGAAGAAATTTATTATTTCTATACATGTTTTGGCTGTCAAACTTCCATAATGCCCCTTTAAGTAGAAAATGACAAATTATAGCTAAAGAAATACAAATCAGACCTATGTGAATCAAAACCTAAATAAATTTATCTGGAATGGATTTTTAATTTTTAGTCAGGGAAATTTAATTAAAGCAAAGAGTTGGGGCTCAAAGCTTATACTGCAACCAGCCACTAGGTGGTGCTTTGACATTCTTCTGCGTAGTTAAACACACAACGTATAACTTTTCTTCTGTAACATTTAAATACCATTTTACCTTTTGTTTTTATTTGTGAATTACAGTGGTCCCTCGCTATAACATGGCTGACCTTTCGTGGCCTTGCAGTTTCGTGGATTTCTCTGTGCAATTTTGCATGCGATTTTTTTTACAGCGCATTGTGTTCTGCATCCAAAAGTACAAAAGTTTGAATGTTGAGTGTTTAAACAAGAGATAAAAGTGTGAAAATGTTAATATCCGTCTAAGAAAGCGTTTAAAGTATGTAGTGAGGGGTTTTACAGCCTTTAAACGCCGTGATGGTGCGCTGAGACAAACATGTCTGCGGAGCATGAACTGTGCCATGGCTGGAGCGTATTTAAATACAGGAGGGGGAGACAGGAGTCTTTATGAGACGACGAGAGATTGAAACGCTGGAGTGTGTGTGTGTGTGCATATAAAACTGCACCCATGCTAGAAATAAAATGATTGAGAAATGTACATTCTGGTGTGTTTTCATGTGTGTGTGACCCCAACAATATAGCGGCGTACGCAAACACAAACACCTATGATAATTGTAAAAAATGAAGCTGACTACTTTGCGGATTTCGCCTATTGCGGGTTATTTTTAGACGTGTAACTCCCGTGAGAAACGAGGGACCACTGTATTACTGTTTAATTGCTCTCAGATGCTCTCGAATCTCATCGGCCTTGAACTAAATTATAATCTCTGCTACTTGTTATGCTCGTTCCCATCGTTATCCTCACAGATTGAAAGGTAGCAGCCAAACATTTCCACTCTCCTTGCTCCAAAAGGATGGAGGAAAAGGTCACGGATGAGTTAACTAGAAATAATAAACCCGTGCTAATTTTGTTTTGACTACCAGCAAAATATTGTGAGTGAAGCTATAGAGTCCAGGACGCTGTTTCTTCCTTTCCTCCTGGCCAGAGGGGGCAGGGGTGGCTCAGCGTGAGCTCACCTGGGAGGATTGCTGACAAACGGCAGGATCCAAAAAGCTCTGTGGCTTTTGGTTCATCTCTTTTAATTCCATCAATCTCCGAATCTGTGAGTTGTTTGGCTTTAATCTCGTCAAGAGCACTCCATAAAATTCAAACTCCAACAAAGGAAGAAACTTTTGTTGGAGAGGAAACGAATCCTTGCCAGGTCATTACCACAGAATCCCATTTTATTGTGGACATACCAACTTGTCAATTCTTGAGTGCTGTTTTCCTTTTCTGTCCAAAATAGTCAGAATAAACAAATATTACGAAGAGTTGTTATATCTTCCTGCCTGAAACAGATGATTCGTCATTCAAAAGAACAGAAAATCACATCCTTTCCATTTAAGATGATGGATGCTCCCCTCCCTGCTCACCACCATATATTTGCTCAGGCTGAGTGGACTAATGCAACGTAAACCTGCCAAATAGACTTTTACTGGGAGAAGATGCATGTGGAGTCCTGAGCAGTCCTCTCCTTTCTGTCATCCTTTTGCTTTAGCTAAACCGTGCATACTTTTGGTTGTTACTCACCGTCGATCGCGCTGCCAAGGAGCAGTCACAAGTCATTGAGATGAAATGTGTTGAGTAAAGCATTACCTCCCTCTCTCTGGGAGAAAACAAGCAGAAAGAAATCTGGCGTGCACGTCTTCACTGCAATTTCCACTTCTGGCACCGAGAGCGTAATACCAAGTAATCTCTCCCTCCGATCTCACTGAGAAGCGCCCGAGAGGAAGACCGGAGTTGTCGGTGAAAATCTGAGAAACTAGAAGCAAGTGAGAATGCTGATCTCCTGGGCTCCACGGGTTCTTATTTTTCATATTCAAAACAAAACATACACTATTATCAAAGTAAAAACAACAAAAGGTCTGTTTGTGGTTACGTCATGTCAACTTCACCCACAGCCTTGACACCTGACCTCTCCATAACCACCACTGCACCTTTTGCCGAATCTTACCGTTTTGTTTTCAGTCACCACATCCTGAAGCAGCCGGTCAGGACGGGGACGCTCTTGGCGTACGCCTTCCCCACAATTTGTACAGACACAATAAACCCCAAAAGGAAAGCAGTTTTTCATTACGGCTTCAAAGTCCACATAAACCATGATTAATGAAGCCCAGAGAGATGCTGCATGTCTTTAATTATTACGACTCGACCGCTGCGCTAGCGCCCTGAGATGCATTAGCAGAGTTGGCGATCTGTAAACGTCTGCCATGGTGCGTTGTCTCACTCTTGGAGAATTTCCCGAATGAGGAAGGAAGGAAGCAGGTAGGAGAGGAATGAATGATCCCCCCCACCCTCCCCCCATCCCCCGCAGTGGCACCGAAATTTGTTTAATCACTGTACATGCATACTTATGAATGAGTTTGGGCAGTGACAGATGGGAGAGCAGGCTGGGGATAATTACATGCAGTGGGCTGCTGTGTGATCAGAGCGTGGCATTGCATTACCCAGAGGGTTCTGTAAATAAATTCCTTATGCAATGAATGAAGATATTGTATAGCACGTTATGCCAGGCACAATAGCATTACCATTGTTGCTATTTGGGCTTTGGCTCCAGATAGTTGTTGGTGTTGTGTGACCAGAACCACAACAGAGAAGTAAATCCAGGCTTAAGCAGAAAAGACGTCAGATGAGGTCGGTCAGTCTGCAGTAACAAGTTACAGTGGAGTAGATTTCAAACACATATTTATTCTCTGGGAACTCTTTTTTTTCTGATTTAAAGTCACACAGAGCGGTTTCCTGCTGCTCTGCCCTACTGGTTGAAAGTGGAATAACAACTGTCATGAAAAAACCCTGCTGTAGTCAGCTGTAGCTAGTGCTAACAATGAGCTGACACTAACATGAGCCAACTAAGTAAAAATATCCACAATGTTGGACAAAAAATATTATTACTTACAATTCCGGTTGCAACAAAGCCAGGTCACCATCAGTCTGTGATTTTGTAACCTCCTTTAGCTCCCTCAAGCTAGCGTGGGCCACGTCGATGTTCACTCTGGCTTTAGCTCTTTGCTTCACCTCCAAAGACATTACTCCCTTACTTTGACTTCCAGGCTCCGCCATGATGCCAGCAGAGAAAGCAAACTTCTCTTTTTTTCTTCTTGTGCTTTTTATTGACAATCGGCAAACAGAAAATGCTAATCGCTAGCATTACAGCTAACAGCTGTAAAGCAGGTAAAGAGCGCCCCCTAGGACACCTACCCACTCCACAAAACGATCAAGTGCGGTTTTTGGTGTGCAGAGGTCTGCAGAGTGGTGTCAAATATGAAACTGGTCAAGCCTGTAACTCAACAATCACTGAGTTCATTGTTAAAGCTCAAGCTTAAAGTTTAAAAACCTATTTAGTGTATGACAATTAAGAAACAATGCTAATTCCATCTTATAGTTCTTTTTAAAACACAGAAAGGTTTTATTTACCTGCAACGTTTCGGTTGCGGCTGCAAACACCTTTCTGTGTTTTAAAAAGAACTTGAAGATGGAATTAGAATTTCAACACAGCAAGAACACACCAAAGATGATTAAAGAAACAATGCTACATTTTAAATCCGAAAAAAATCTGATAAATAAGAACACAGGTGCTATTCTGAAGCAATGGCATCCTCCGTTTGTGCTTGGAAGTCTTCGTTTCTGAGTTCAAAGTTAAAACTCCACACAAACATTCACCAGTCAGAATTCCAACTAATTTAGCTCCAGCCCAGATCTTAAATCCAACATGCCTGCCTTGCACATAAGTAATGGCAACAGCTGCAGTAAAAAATATATATTTACTTTTAATTCTGTTGGTTTGTATCTCATGATATCTTTATAAGGAAATGTGTTACAATATCCGAATGCACAGGATGCAAAGAAATAATTTTTTTTTGCCTGTATTGCAAATAGTTTGGTATGACATCATTCTCAGATCCAAGTTCTGACATCCAAGATAAAAGATTGATCCAAGAAAGGTAGTAATTACGTGAAACCTGGTGATGGCTGCAGAAAGATCTCTTTACAAGAAGATGAAGACAAGGAAATAAGAAATAAGTGATGTCAGGCAGTTGAAGTGCTATTAAGACTGACAAGAAGATGCAAAACTCCATCAGCTTGGAAGAACGTCAGCTTATTCCACTACAGACAGCTTCATCGCATGCATGTTGTATGTTTTCTCACATAGACTATTCCCTCACTGGAAGGAGCTTACATTCTGTCTGACCTGTGAATGTCTTGGGGAACCACAAGAGGAGATGGAAGATGTTGCTGAGGAGAGAGATTGCCTTCTGGATGGATGGATGGAATTTCAATTATAATAGGTATAATAAACAATGTGTCAATCTTTGCTCCATCACTAATGAAAAGCTGCATCAAACCATGAAGCTACCACCTTCGTGTGTTACAATTAGAAGGGTAATTTTAAGAATATGGTGTTTTTCTTTTATTGAAACTTAGTTTTTAGTCAATCTCAAAGTTAAATTATATTTTCATCTAATTTGCTCACATACACTGTTTCACCATCATTTTTCCATCTCAGTAAAAAGCTGATGGACACGATTAGATAAACATCTAATGAACGGTGTTCTCCGGACAAACTTTGTGTTAATTTCTATGTTAAGTTCGTACTGTGTTGGTTATCCAATTTCTTGTCTTTAGTTCTTTGTTATACAGCATGATAGGGGTTTGTTGCTACCTTTCCTGACATGTTTTGACATTCACAGCCACCTTCATCAGAACAGCAGATGTTGAGTGGAGAAGGTGCAGGTGCGGATAAAAGGAGGTGACGCCATTATCATCCGAAGTTTGCACTGACGAAGGCAGCAGTGACTGTCAGAACATGTCAGCAAAGGTAACAACAAACCTTTATCAACAAAAAAAAATCGAATTTGTGTAAATTTGCCAACCAAATTACTGTATATTTTTCATTTATATTGTGTCCTTATTAAAGGTGCAATATGTAAGAATTTTACAGTGAAATGATCACAAAGTTATCTAATGTCTCAGTCATGTTGGAAGGAAGATTACGTTGATGCATTTTTCCATCTCAGCCAGCTGGGGAAGGGGGGGGGGGGGGGGGGGGGGGGGTTCAGCTTTTTTCCTTTAGAACAAAGTGAAAGGCAGATTTAAAATATACATTTTTTTCCTGCTCTCAAGCAGAATGCTTTATTTTTTCTCCTTTATGTATTGGCAACAGCCATGTAACTCAGAGAACAGATGTGAGAAAGTGGTTGGAAGATGGGTTGCAGTAACCACATTTGACCACAGGATGTCACTCTTACTTCATTCTTACACAATGCACCTTTAAGTTGGTTTCTATTTGTCTAATTTTCTGAATTATGTAGAATATTTGTAATCTGTCACATCAAATTCTAACAGAAACATAAAAAAATCCAGTTTGTTATTTTGGAACGTATTAAACCTCTCTGAATGGGTTAGAGTTATATCTGAATCCTCACAAAATTCCGTCAGTCATGCCATGAAGTGGACTTCCTACTCTGCATTTTGTTCAGGACTCGTGGAAAAAAGAGAGAAGCTCATTTGGATAATCCTCGTTTAGCATGGAGAGTTTATGAGTCACAGTCATGGACAATCAGAGAGCATTAACATAAGTTGTGCTACCTATCTTAGCCCTCACACAGTCTATCCTTCACATACGTGCACACAGATAGAAAACAGAAGGTGTGTTAGCATTAAGCGCTCTCCTGCAGCACACTGGATGATGGATTATCAAGTGCTCCTGTTTATTTATGCTGAGGAGTATGGTCAAAGCCCTCATGCATACACCCCTATGTATGGCAAGTACAATCAACCATAAAATAAGGTTGCATATTATGAATGAGCAATAGGTTCACACACACACAGATACACACACGCATGCATGCTTTTTAGCTGCAGGAACCTTGTCTTGATTAACTTGACATGTTTTCCATTTTACGTCATGCCCTGTTCCGTGTGTGGCTCAGTGGAAGCCATCAATTTTAGTTTGCCTGCTGTTTGTCTTTTTGCAGTCTTTTGCTAATCTGGATTATTCATCAATGGCTCTGAAAAGGAAGTGCTGAGTGACGACTGTGGTGGTATTTACCCCCAAATGACATCATATACATAAAAACTTTGGTTTTGTAGAAAACTGGAGAAAGTCAGACCCCTTTCTACAAAAATAAACTCTTATTTTTTGTGCTTCATAGACAACAATCAATGAAATAGTCACCAGGATGACCCCCCAGACTTTAAGTAGTCTGTAACTTCAC